ATAACTTCGAGGGTGGTTTTAGGTACATAACCAATTGGATCTATAGATCTAAGAACCTGATCTGAGAAATATATAGTTGGTACTTTTAAAAATTTTCCGTACTTATTTTTATAGCTAGGAAGAATTCTTAAAAATCACATATTATTTTGTAGACATAATATTATTGTATTCTTAACTTCTTTGCTCTAAATAGTTTTTCTAAATACATTATTGTATTGAATTAAAATTTAACACATCTATTAGACTATTACGACAATACGACAGTAATTACTAATTTTTATAAATTACAATTCACAAATAACTAGAAATTATAAACTATAGGAATTTGTTGGATAGGCTCGGTTTTTCAATCATCCAGTTATTCGTCAAATATTGATTTTACGCACACATTATTAGTATAGTATTGTAGTAGTTATAATAATAAATAATAATTAAATCTACCTATTGAATTCATTTGCATTTATACGGATGATTTGACCACGCAGTGATTTCCGCAATTTGTAATATAGATTAGGTTTTAACTATCTATTGATATAATTATGATCTTAATTTGAGGTTATTTCTTCGTAAAAATTACTGAAAACGTCACTCACCGGTTTGCATTGACGTATGCATGACGCTGGTAACATTGTGGAACGACAACATAATCAGAAATTGGAATCAGAATCAGTGACGACAACCATAATGCAGCAAAATGTAACAGGAATATATGGTTTGATCGCGATGGCCGTTGAACGAATAGGCAATAGCTACAACAGCTGTGGTTTCTAAATAGGTACTGCCATCGAAACTAAAGAAAAGTAGCGGCTGACTATGCGACCCTGGTACGTCGAACCTATACTCTGATCGTATAACATGGCACTCGTTATTACTTACCATCTAATTCTTACCATCTAACGTAACGTTTATTCTTCAATTTGATATGAGAATAAAGCGTCTCCGCTTCGTTGTTGTACCGTCTACGTACCTATCTGTATTTGTAATAATTATTAACTGACGAATAGTCATTAGATAAGTAGTATCGATCGATTATTACGATTAATATGATTAATAAGAATAAAGAAATAATAAATTTTCATACAATGAATGATAACAGTAAGATTCGATACCTATATTTCTGTTTTTGTCTAACACACGCGCGACATAGTATTTTAGACTTGTTTTTTTTCTAAACATACCAATTGACCTAATGAAGCGATAATAATTCTAAAAACAGATTTGAATTTGTCGTCAAGTCTACTTGAAATTGACTTTCCCAAATTTTTGATTTTTTTGATTTTAACTTTTCTGATTGAAATACAACAATTTTTAAATACTCTTTTTTAATATGACATTTTTAGGAATTTGGGGGGATAATATGAAAAATGTGGGAAGTCAATTTCGAGTAGACTTGACGACCAATTCAAATCAATTTTCAGAATTCTTAACACTTCCTTAGATAGTTAGATCAATTGGTATGTTTGGCAAAAAACACGTCTAAAATACTATGTCACTCGTGTGTTAGACAGAAACAGAAAATCACGATATCGAATCTCTTTAAGTGTACCTAAGCCATATAAATAATATATCAGGAGCCTTGTATTACATTTTTACACTTTTTGGCCCAACGCAGATAAAACTTTATTGATATTTATAGAAAAAAAAAACTAAAAAAATTGGAAACTGAAAATGTCCGTAAACAGCTCAAAAAGTCAAAATATTTTCAAAATTGTATGATGTATAGGAAAAGCTAACATAAACATTCAGTGAAATTTTCATGTATCTACAGTTTTCGTTTTTGAATTACAGCAAAATAAGGAAATCGCTACATGAGAAATCGAGTGAATATCCAATGTTGTAAAAATTTGAATTTCAAACGCTCATAAAAATTTAATTTGACTTACTTAAGACATTAATTTTTTGATAAAGGTAGGTAATCTTATAAGGAATCTTGTATTACATTTTAAAACCTTAGATTTAACGAATTCTTAACTCAAAATAACTTGCTAATTTTCTTGATTTTTCCATATTTTGTCAATTTTGAACTTTAAATGTTTATAAAAAAACTGTGACTAAGGATTTTTAATATTTTTCATCTGCCTTTGAAACAATATACTAGGAGCCTTCTATTAAATTTTCAAGCTTTTTAAAGCAACAAATAACATTTTATTGATATTTTTAGAAAAAACTAAAAAAAAAAAATAGAATATGAAAATGTCCTTAAATAGTTTAAAATAAATCAAAATATTTTGAAAATGTTATCGTTTATAGAAAATGCAAATATAAACAACCAGTGAAAATTTCACGTATATACATTCATTTGTTTTAGAGTTACACCAAAAACCAAAATCGATTTTGTGGAAAACCGATTTTGCGTAAAAATTCCCCGTTTTTCCTTAATTTTTATGTTGTTTTTCCCGGCGCTTGTGAAAACTATTGGGAATTTTAAATTTTGACATCCCAAATGTACCAACTAGATTCACTTTCGCATCGAATAAGATACTGAAGTTGAAAATCGAAACATTATTTCGACTACTAAACGTGTACACAGACACACAAAAAAAAAACACACACACATCATTGTAAAATGTCATTGTGTGTGTAAAATATAATAATATATTTTAAAAGTTTCAATCTCCTACCCAGGAATAAATTGTTTGATTAGAATACAAAACAACTAAAATTGATATTCATTCTTTAAATATCTAATTTCGTCAAAATTTGAACTTAACATATCTTTATATAATTTTTACAATATGCTTATGTGGAAACTTGTTTTAAATTTTTAATCCTTATTAGCTATAAAAATTGAACGTTTTATAAATTTTTAACTACAAAATAATTTGCAAATTTTCAATTTGATAAATTTTATCATCATTAGAACTTTGAATGCCTAATTTTTAAATTGCTATTGTAATAAAGTGTGAGGAGCCTTATATTGAATTGTCAAGCTTTTTGACTCAACAATACAATTTTATTCTCACTCATAGAAAAAAAACTAATAAATTGAAAATTGAAAATGTAATTAAACAGCTCAAAACTATTCAAAATATAGATAATAATATCAAGTACCTATATAAAATGATAAAATAAACATTTGGTGTAAATTTAAAGTATATACGATTATATATTCGTTTTTGAAATACGACAAAATAAGAAAATCGTTCCATGAGAAATCGAGTGAATATCCAATGTTGTAAACATTTTAACTTAAAATGCCCATTCATTTTAAATTTGACGTTCCGGTAGACATTTTTTTTTTGTTAAGTTAGAAAAACTTATGAGGAATCTAGTATTAAGTTTTAAAACCTTAGATATAAAAAGAAACATTTTTATGAATTCCTAACTCAAAATAATTTGCAAATTTTCATGATTTCGATGAACTTTGAGAAATAACTCCACACTCTTATAAAAATTAGGTATTTACTGTAGATTTATGCTCAACTTTTTTCTAAATTTCCATTAACAACAACTTATGAGGAACCTAGTAATAAGTATTAAATTGAGTTTTGACCACACAAACTTTTTTTCATCGAAGATAATTTTAAAAAATAATAAAAATCGAAATTGTCTTATGCTCATAAATAGCTAAATAAACCTACTTAAAAATATTTTGAAAATTGTGTGGTGTATAATATAAAATGCTAATTCAAACATTCAGTGAAAAAATTAGAAATACTGAATAGGTAATTGATTTTATTTACATAGTAGGTACATTTATTATTATTCGTGTGAAACAAAATAAAACTTACCAATACAACAGACGAAATAGTGGATATAACAATATAGATTACTGCCATACAAATTGTCTTCAAATTATCCATGATTATCGTTTGTCGTGTCTCAATCGAGGGCATCTACAAGAATGACAATGCCCACGAATATAAGATATCGTATTGTCACCAGTATATTATTATGTTATACTGTTGTTCTTAGCTAACTTATCTAGAATATGAATCATGCATAGCTATATTTTAAACATAAAAAAGTTTCACGGAAAGATAAATTACTGAATGGTAAATAGCAACTATACGGACACGTATGTATAATATGTATACCGTATATTGTCATGAATGTTATATTACGAATTCGTTGAAATACTATAAGAATTGGATAATAACATTTTTCTAGGCTTTAGTTTTAACATCACATTTGTGTGTACCGTCATTAAAATAAAAATACACTATTTTGTATACAAAAATGATCTGTAGTTGTGGATTGTAACTATACGTCTATGTTTATGGTTCATTGGTTCCAAGCGTTCTAACTATAAATAATTAGACAGAAATGTGCTAAATAATTAGTCATTAACAATAGTCATTAACATTAAATTATAATCACAAAACTGTGTATAATAAATACAATTTCTTCGGAGAAAAATATTTTCTTTCAACAGAATTAAATCGTTTTTTTTATTTATTTTCAATAAAGTAATTTTATTTTCATAATATTACGTTCAACTATTTATATTTTATTTACTACAAATTCAATTTATTGATATACTATGTTCTTGTTTCGTAATAGAAATTGTATTCCTTAAATATATTGTTTTAACAGTTGTGTATATCATTAAGATATATATTGTGTACCTATACCAATTACCAGATACCTACGTGATTATTAGATACTTATAATAGTATAGGTAGGTACTCGCATTATAAAAAATGATGATAAGACAGAGAAAATAAAAAAAACTTGTAAAAACTAAAAAATATTTATCGTGCTGTGTTAACAGGATAAACTGAAACGTTGTTAACTGGAAAATAAAAATAATATTACTAAGATATCAAACGAAGGAATAAGCAATATGAAAACTACAAGAAATAAATTAAGACTATAAATTGTCTATAATACTAAATTATGAATACATTTTTAATTAAATTATACATTGTAATTTTTATATAAATTAAGAATACATATTTTCAAATATTATAGTAACTATACTGAGTTTAGAATTAGAAGATGTAAGAAATAAGAGACACAAATTACATGACGAAATTATGATTGATTTCAGCGTATCTTCAATCATACAGTTCTTCTTCCCATGGTTTAAAATCTATCATATATTTTTGACTACAACTCCACTTCATCGAAGAATACCATCTAAAATATATTATTTGAATAGCAATAAATAGGTACTGTAAATACTTTTATATTCAATAATAAAACATTAAGAATTAAGATAAAGAAGTCTTAACAACTATGTATGGTCCTTGCCATGGATTAAATATACAAGGTTATTGCACATAACCTATATAGGGCACAGTCTATATTCAATATTGTAATCAAACAAAATAAAATGGCAGCGTAAGGGTATATGGTCCATGGCTTGAAATAGGTCACATACTCACATCAACCTTACTCTGCCATTTTAATTCCTTAATGTAATAAAATTATATAGTGGGGGTATTATTGCAATAACTTAGTATAATATTCTATGGCCCTTGCCGTGTGTTAATAATTTTCCCTAAAAATCAAAGTAAAAATTAAATTAAAAATATTGCAAGTTATTAATGTTTAAGATAACTTTATGCTGAGGTAATTGTTGTATAAGTACAGTAATATTGTATATAATATATTATATTATCCATCTCGGTGGTCTCAGTAGGTATAGCAGTATAATTATTTATAAAGTATATAAGTTATTAATTATTATGAACAACATAAGAAAATATATTCTCACCCATCGTCAACTTTCGTGAAAATATTTTTTTGTAAGTTATCAACGGACGAAGTAGCGCATATAATGTGATCCAGATTAATAGATTTGAGTACTTCAAGTTGATCTGAAAAATTAAATACAAAAATGAATTTTAAACGTTTACCAAGCATATAAAAAATTTTAATGTGTCAGGGATACTAAAATATAAAATAAATTGGTTACGTTTGGAAAATTGACCAGACTGCCCTTCGTTATCGTAGAAAAATCGATCACCTACTCGTGATCTATAGAAAAAATCACCAATAATACATCGTGAGGTATTTCCAACTAAAGCATCGTTCTCTGGTGTCTCTAACAAAGCCCCTACAATGAAGTCTATGTCATCCACGGTGGAGTAAAGTGTCTCCAAATCATAAATGTCCTGAAACAAATAAAACAGTTAAGTGATTGAACCACACAGCACAATACGAAAATACACCAGATAATTAGTAACTTACTGTACAAAACGTCTACATTAAGGCGCTTATATTTTACTAAAGCTTATATAATATATAATATTATAGTAATAATAACACTATAACAGTAAATCACCCGACGTCGTATTGAAAAAAAATCAACATTTTATAAGCTATTTTCACTCACATCTGTTGGTATAGTATCAATCAAGTCACTAAATGACTTAGCAACAGGCAATCCACATAACTGTCTCATTTTATTGTACGGAGGGAGACCGGTATCGCGCCCTCTTTGGATATCGTACGATAGGAGATCCACGCCAATCGAATTGTTTGAATGAAACATTAAGTTTGAAATCTATTCGAAAATAGAAGCTATATTACCGGGTAAACAAGTTAAAATTGAAATAGAATTCTTTAATTATTATTTATTTAATAAGAAAACATTACCAAAGAATTGTATGAAGGTTGACTCAGGCGTCCTTCTGTACTTAATAAACCTCGAAGTAGATGGTCATAGTTTGAACCTTGTTGTAAGAGATACGGGCAGTTCATCCAGTCTGTAACATTGACTACTTGCACAGTTGTGGAATTCGAATCAATAAATCTACAAAAAATAAAAATAAAAATGTCGTGTGTAAATATTATAAAAATAAATATAATTTACACATGACATTTTTATGAAAATATGTGTATTTTATTTGCACCTATGTTGAGCTGGTATAATATTGTGGAGTACACGAAATGCGCCGGTTGAAAACTCTTGCGAAGTTGATGGGTTCACAGTAGGATCATATTTATTGTTACCCCCAAGCACTTCGTCATTTGTATAGTTTTTGCCTAAATAAGGTCATATTATAATGGCATTATGCATAAAATGTTTAAGTTTTATACAATGTTGGGTAAAATATTATTTATTTATACTAGGTTTGCAATTTATTACTTTAAAGTACTTAGTACAAACATATACCTAAGATTATTGGTAAAAATTGTGTGTATGTAATATGTTGGATAATTGCACCAACGAATCTGCGAGATTCTTGGTATAACTTTTCATCAGACCACATAGCATTCCCAGTTTTTAGTTTAAACGCTACGAAATTGTGAAATCTCAAAAACATATTGTGAAAAAGTGCTATACCAAGGTTCAAATTTGCACGCGAGTCTCCTGTAACAGAGTATAACTATATATATTACATCACATGTCACATAGTCGAAGTTAAGTGTCAACGTGTGGATCAGTCTTACCGGATCGGTACAAATATTTGTTGGTATCGGAAGACTCAAAGGACGAATGTGGACAAAACTCCTGGCTGTTATCAAGGACAGAAATTAACGTCCCCCCTGTAAATGATCTCAGTGTCGATACAACGTAATCATTAGAACCATAAATTTGAGATCCATCAATAAAATGTGAAGCATCGTCTATCTATAAATACAAGTTGACTATTATTTATTTTTTCGGTTAAAATTGAATGATAACTTATAAAATAAAAATTAATTAAAAGTACATAATATTATATTACCAATAGGTAATGCATTCAAAATATAACAAACGGATTAGGAAAAATAAATATGATGAATGAACTTCTAAACGTTATGCAGTATCCAAAATACTTATTTATTGGTATGTTTTCAACTTGTTAACTATGTAAAATTGGTTACGTAAAATCTTAACAATTTAAATTGGGAAAATAAAAATTTTGGTTTTTTGGTGACATAATAATATGCAAGGAGTTAGGAGTAGGTATATACTATATTACTGTAAAAAAGTGTAAAAGAATATTATCTATAACGGACATTTTAACAACACTATTACATGGTTTAGTGAACAGTTGAATTTATAAAAGATAAATAAGAAATACTGAGAGTTAATGAAATAGCAGTATGTATATATACTTACTATTTTATTTTATACGGTATTATAAATTTGAGTGCAATAGTATACATCACAGAATTGTCTAGAATGAATGATAAATAATATAATGATGACTTACAAATGTCAATGGTTGTAAGGGACAGCTATAGTTGTTTGATGTCATTGCTCGAGTAAATCTCATGCATGTCGTGTTGTACTTTGAGTATATAGGATCGTCTATTGGTATTGTGATAGTAGCTTCGCACGCTCTTGAAACCCAATGTTGATTTTTATATGCACAACAATCTAAATTAAATTATTTTAACTGTACATAAAAATAGAAGAATAGGCAATTTAATTACATGTTTCATTGGATAGATACACGTTATCATATAATATTAAATATAAAATAAAATAATTTTATTTTATTGTTACCTTCCCCATTTGTATCAATTGCTAAATTAGAAACATCGTGAGCGACAAACTGGCCCCATTGCATTAGCAGCTGGTTATTTTTGTCGGGGATTCTTATTTGCTTATTCAAAAACAGCTTTAATTGAATTTCTCTTGCACTCGGCAATGGTTTCCCATCAGATGATGCACGTAATTTTGAGATCCCTTTAAAAAAAAAAAAACATTACAAATTACAATGCAGGTAAGACAGAGATGAATAATTAATATTCGTGAACATATTATTAACACAAAATATTAGAAAAAAACTTATAATTTATAATACACAATTTTAGTGAAGGCTGTAAAAATAATTAGCTACTTTTTTCCAAAAGCACGCCTATTACCATAATTTACAACTCCTACCATCGGTTTTTAAAATATACACTTCAACAAATTTCACTGAAGCCAAAAATTAATTCAATATCCCGGACAATCTATATGAAGCAATTGGTCCATTATATGTAGTGTTTGAAGTATGAGAAATATTTCATGAAATATTTCAAATGAAATATTTCATTTTGAAATATTTCACTAAGTTGTGAAATATTTCACAAAAACGTGAAACATTGAAATTTTTTTTTAACACAAATAAAAACACAATTTATTTATTTTTTTAACACAATGCTCAGTGTTCTAAATTCTAATGTCAGAATTCAGTAAGTATACAAAATACATGTATAATATTGTATACCTACTTGTATCATTTAAACATTAAAATATTTAAAAATTTTGAATACCAATTTAAATGTATAATACCAAAGGTTAGGTATACATACAGGTACCATATAGTGATGAAGGTAATTTATGACAATTATATGTAAATATAAAACTTATTTAAAAATAAAACAAAATATATTAAAATACTGAAATATTTCACATATTTTGAAATATTTCATGAAATATTTCACGAAATATTTCATTTTTTTATATTTCATGAAATTTTCAAACACTAATTATATGATAATTTACATTCTTAAACAAATCTTAATATACCTATAACTTTATAATGTAAATATTAATGTTGGCTAATAAACATTATTGTAATTGATGCTATAAAGTATAAACAATTTAAAAAAAGTGATATTTATATAATATTATGTTGTACAATATAATTAAGACATATGAATACCTATATGATATTGTGATTAATAAAATATACGATTGTAAAATATTAATATTTAATATTTATTTTAAAGGTATACCTAGTATAGATTAGTTCCAGTAACAATGAATGTGTAGTTGTCAATGGGTATATTACAATTATTGTAATAAATAATAATATTATATCTATATCAAATCTAAACACCAATAGAATATAGATCAATATTATTAGTTTTTATTAGAGCCTACCTACTAATATTATTTTCTTATTCACAAAATGATAATCTATACTATTATATAAAGAGGAGTTGGTAGTTGACATTGTTCAGGGAAGGTAATCTCTAGAACTACTGAACCGATTTCGAAAATTCTTTCACCAATAGAAAGCCACATTCTTTGTGAGTGTCATAGGCATAAACCATAAATCCAACCCGAGGAGGTGCTCAAACAGGAATTTTAAGATTTACGTTGGAAATTTTTGTTTATAAATGGTTGCTATTGGTTGTATTTATTTTATTGGTTGCCATTGGTTATCGGGCAGATCAGGTACAGCATGCATCAAATTGAATTTTCACACATTGTCTACAAAGGTGACTGAGTTTCACTTATAGTCGTTGATCAGCGTGCCCACTTGATATGCTATCGGACATTGTCCGTGACCCGACATAGTCGGTTGCCTACTAGGGTGTCTGAGTTGCACTTACTGCAACGAGTTACACCCAAAAAGAGTTGAACAATCACAATTTTTTTAAGATTTGTAATTTTTTACGGGCAACGAAGTGAGAGGGATCAGCTAGTAATTTTATATACGATTGTAGTATAATGTTTAAGTATAGTGGCTGTATGATATAGAAATAAGACATTATTTATTAGTATATATTATTATTCTTATAGACATGTGTTTTGGTGTTTTGGACGTTTTGGTAGAACTATAGTAATGTAATGCAGCGCTTACAATTGCAATGCTCCAGTCATTTAATATTTTTTTTATGGCTACAGCCTTTAATATTTAATAGTTTATAACTTTATATAAACTTTTTATAAAATGTATTATTGATTCATGTGAGCGTACTAGTGTATTATTATTAATTACATTCTAAGATATCTTATTTAAAAATTTTAAATTTCAAACAATAAACAGATTATAGTAATAATTTATATTAAAACCTTCATCAATACCCACCCTGATCTATATAGGTACCATGTGAATATGTCATCTATATAATATAATACCACATTGATAGGAACAATTGTTTAAACAATAATTATTAATTACCATCGCTGTAGTGTGCGTCGACAAGTCTGATGAATGGGGTGTTCGAAGAACCCCAAATTGGATTGTTTGGGTTGTTACACGTCCCATTGCTAGTTCTGTATTTGTCACTATAGTCACACGAGACAATAGGTGCACATTGGTCGAAATACTCTCTGTTTTTCATAGTGAAGTGATCTTTACTTTTAATGATTGCGTGCAGCGACTATTTTGAAACGATATAGATATTAGGTACATTATAATGACGCATAATAGTATTATAAATGATTGAAAAAATTGTTTATTTGCAATAGGTAGTTAAAATAATAAAGTGTGCTTATAAAAGTATTAATAACGCTTTGTTATTTTTTCTACACATTTTTTAATCATCAACATTTTTAAATCTTTTTTGAACGAATAACTTTTTTTTTATAGAATAAATGTGATAATATAGGTAGGTAGGTAGTTATAGATTTTTATTTGATTCAACTCACGATTAATATCCTATATAAATAAACTATTTTATTAAAAATGTTAACAATTTAACAACCTTTTATTTAATATCCTACGTATAGGTACACATTTTCTTTAGTGCAATATACAAATATACAATTATTAAATGGTTTGCTGAATCACTATAATTATTTAAAAATATTTAAATGGTTTTCCAATTTCCCAGTAAAGTTGTTGTCTACAAAAAAAATATAGGGTATTAATTTGTTTGTACTAAAGATCAGCTATATGATCCATACACATTTACAAACTATATTATTAATTGTGCATTAGGTACACAACTTTTTGAATTAGTTTTACTGTTTTAAAGGGCTTTTCTGAAATAAATATCACGTGGAGATAATATAATAATTGTAATTTAGCTACTCTAATATTTGTAGTTATTAGGGCCTATAAAGAAACATATTCTATCATATTTGTGATTAATTAATTATTTTTTATACGTTTCATCAAAAGTTTATATTCATTAATATAGTATATACGTTTTATGTGTCTACAAATAATTATAATATAATAAATTAATAAATCATAATCTAATCTATAGGAATAGAATTATAATATTTTAAATTTACTTATGTATACAAGTATTCAATATTGTTGTTCTTTATAATACCTTTATATATTGAGTGAGTATTGACCTTTAAAGAAACTAATTTATATAGCCCACTCTATCAATTTAAAAATTTTTAGGTTATAATGACGATTGATAAGAGTTTGTTTAATGATCAACGGTTAACACTTAACGTCAATGTATTATCTCCGACAATCGTACGTTACATAATAAATTAATTTACCTACCTAACGGCCAACAGAGGTTAGGACCAACACTGATTCTATGTGAATATTAAATCTAATAATTTGATCTATAATATTATTAAATTGAAATACAAGAATATTACATAAGAACTAGTAAGTAGTAACGTTATGATTTTACAAATTTTAATTATTTCACGGGGTATAATATTTTATGCATACAAACATACATATTATACCATAAAGTATAATAAGTATACAGTTGATGAATTTAAATATTGAAAAACTCAGCGTTAAGTTTTGAACAATATTTTCATTTGTACATTTTATAATCTTGAATCTAATATTGGTCAAAAATCAAAATTTATGTACATTTGCATAAATAAAATATTTTATTTTGTAGCTTTTTATATTCATGTTAAAGTACCTACCTCCCATGGGAGGCCTCTTCCTTCAGTCTCTTCTGTCTGTTTTAGTTCTATTATCACTTAAGCTTACTGTTCTAATTGTAACAGATAGCGTAATAAAGAATTTTGTAGAAAAAAAAAAAATGTTGTAGCTTTTAATTTGTTGCCTATCGGTTCTATCTTTAATTGAAAGCGCATATTTAAATATTTTAGAGTTTAAAATAATGCATTAATACATTAAAGATTTTTAACCGCAGAAATGCAGAATCACAATAACATATACATACAAATAGTTATAACTGTTTTGCATTCACATACCTAAGAATAAATTAAACATGGTTGCATATTTTGATATGTTTCTGTAGTCTACTACTTAAATCTTTGTAAATGTCTCTGTTTTTGTAAAGAGTTGTCGACTCTTTGCCCCTTTCTATGAACTCACCCCTTGGGGAAAAGATTTATTGATATAGAAGGGGTGTACGTGTTACCAATATATTCAATTATATACCTAGTTCAACTTGATAAAAATATAAACACATGGACATGCCTCAATGGCTGTACCTACATAATATGTGATTAATGTATTTTATTTTACCTGGACGTATTGGTCATCGTTTGACCAAAAATCAACAACTGATATCGAGAACGTGATAATTAGAACTGAAAATATTACGAAAATAACAAAAAGTTGACTTCTATAGTCATGCAGCGGTTTCGTTTCCTTATCTTTTCTATGGAGAAGCAGACCTCTAAAAAAAAAAAAAAAAATTAGATAAATATATGTGATAAATAAATTAAGTCAATGGGCATGCATTGCTAATTAATAATAGCTTATATAGGAAAGCATTAATAATTCATAATATTTAGACACTTTATTATATTGTTCTCTTATTTCAAATGGATACGGTAATTAATTTAATGTAATTAAATACTGAATTTATGCAGTGTTATATTAAAAAACATATTATTATATTATAGACTATATAATTATAGTGTATATTTACGTTGTTTCTCCATTTTTAGTCCACGTCTCTAATGCAATATCGTTTACCATTTCGAATAAGATCTATTTATTTACAATTCAAAAAAAGGCTATTGAGTGCACCATTGGTACGTCATCCAGAATCTATAGCCAGACCAACCGGATATACCATAAATACTGACATCTAAACACAGAGCACTATGCCCATTAACACAAACGGCTGATAATATTTTTTATACATCATAATCGTATCGATTATTGTTGCTTCCTTTATAATCGATTATTATTTAGTATAACAATTTTTTGTTAATAGGTACCTGTTTGATTATAATTGTTACTATTATATTATGTAATAAGTAATAACTAATCTATACATCTATATATATATATATATATATATATATATATATATTATATATATAAAGCTGTAGAGTTTGTGTGTTTGAACGCGATTATCTCAGGAACTACTAGTTCGAATTGAAAAATTATTTTTTTGTTGGATAGTCCATTCATCGAGGAAGGCTATGGGCTATAGGAAGTGTTCAAATAGGGATTTTGAGATTTATGATGGAAATATTTGTTTATAAATAGTTGCTATTGGTTATAGGGGAAATAATCAATAGAAATAGTATTTATTTATTATTAGTTGCTATTGGTTAATCGGGTAGATCAGGTACAAGTATGCATCAAATCGAATTTTCACACATTACCTACCAGATAGGCTGAGTTGCACTTACTGCAGTGAGTTACACCAAAAAAGAGTTGAACATCACAATTTTTTTAAGAGTATTGTCATTTTTTACGGGCCACGAAGTGTGCAGGATCAGATATATTATATATAAATGAATGTTTGTGTACAATCTCTCTGGGAAGAAGATAGGCCAATTTAAAAAGGGTTAAATTTGGTTTTTTTTATTCATCGGAATTTAGTACGGATATGTTAGGTTAGGATTATATTAATCCACCGTATTATATCAAAATAAACTTTGTATAACTTTGATACTTTAGATTTAAATCATACACTTACTTACAAACAGCACTGGGTTCGTGATCTACCGCAGATAGATTGCCTCCTGCAGATAATATACCGCTGCGAATCAGAATTTTTATTCTAGGCAACAAAAAAGTTAAGATAAATTTTGAACACCATACACCGAGTATTAAATAACGAATTGAACAAAGTTTGAGGCATAATATAGAGTTGGTACATTTAATGGGCAACCAAGTACACAGGATCAGCTAGTGTATAAATGTATAATATATGTATATATTAAATAATATTTATCACTATTTGTTTCCTCTGTCAGACCCACGCGCAACATAGATAAGACACTTTCATTGGGTGCATTTTTTGGAATCGTTTTTTTATGATCATTGAGTAAAATCACCCATTACAAAAACTATAGAAGATATATACTGTTTCTGAGGGCTTAATTATATATTGGTTTTATATTTTATTGTTATTTGACTTTGTATTCAACTATAAAATATATTATTTATTTTTTTGTAAATTTAAATGATGTTTAAATTGTTTTGAGACAATATTTAAACAAATCTATATGTTTACCCTCAAAAATATTTTTCTCAATCATTTTTATGATGGTTAATTTTACTCTAAGATTACTCAAAAATATTAAAAAATATATTCTGCGTAAATGCGTTTTGTCTATATTATGTTGCGAGTGAGCCAGAGAGAGAAAACAATCAGTGCTCTCTAACGCTTGACATCCTCTTAATCAACCAATAGGGATGTAGTTTAATTAATAATTATACCTATAGTTCTTATTTTAGTAGTAATTTTAATAAATTAAAAATGAAGGTAATATTTTGAATGAATTACAAAGTAATATGTAAATTTGTATTTTTTTTTTTTTATTGATCCTTTTAGCCCGGTATCTATGGCCATCAGCTGTTAGTAGGTTGTAAGGTGGTGATGGTAGGGTTTTTTGTTGGTGGAGGTTTACACGCGAGTGTTTGTGTTTTGGCAGAATTTCGAATGGGGCACCCGTAGGTTTCTGCCATGCCCCGGAGTGGGGGATGGCGGCACTTGTTCTCCGGACACCGTGACTTGCCTGGAGAAAAATGCCGCCCAGTGGTCGAGGATCGAACCCGAACCGGCAGCGCCGCAGCCGACGCGTTGACCGCTCGGCCACCTCGTCCCCCAATTTGTATTTTAATATATTGTCTTAACTCTTAATTATTAAACTTAAAATGTATATTAAAATAAAAATATAACCATAAACTTAATTGCATTTATTTAAAGCTTGTTGAATTTTTTTTTTTGTTACACGTATATACACAATTGAGAAATGTTACTTCCCTTATTTATAATAAAGGACAAAAGATAAAAACAATTTTATAATACAATTAATATTTAATGATAAATATATATTTAATGTTTATAAATAAGGTAAGTACCTAGTAAAAAGTAATACTATGAAATGGGGAAAAAATTATTTACTGTTACTGCACAATATAATTTATTAGCTTAACAGTATAAAATATAAATATTAATGAATTTTATTCTGAAAGGATACCTAAGATACCTTTATTATTGTTTCTATGTTGGTACTTAGTACTTACACCAAAGTCTTTTTCCAATGGTATCAACGACGCTGCCGGGACTGCTTGCATATTACCAGGCACGTAGCCAGACATTTTTCGATAAGGGTCCCAACATTTTTTGGCCCCATTCTGTTTTTTATACCCAATAACACTCATCTCCTTATCAAACAATATCCATAAAAAATAATACTAAATTTCACAATATATTGTCTGTATTGGTTAAGCATTATATTTTTATTATACATTAATATAAAATAATAAAACTATAATAAATAGGTACCTACTCATTAGTATGAAAAATGATTTATAATATTATCAATTAGGTAAATCAAAATGTCATAAATAAAATCATTAATTAATTAAAACAATTTATGAAAATAATGTAGTCATCAAATATCAAAAGTCCAGAAATATATACATTAATACCTCCGATATAATATAATATACTATATTATTATACTTTATACAGATAGTGTTGAGATTAATAGTGTGCAAATTATAATTGACTAAAACAATATTAAATGATTATCATTTTAATAATAAAAATAAATAAAATAGGTACTTAACTTTATCAACAATATTATAGTTTATAATGTCTTAAAAATTTTAAATAATATGTAGTACCTAATGGCTAAATAATATTCATCTATTAATTAATACAGATTAATATGCACCTACTACGTATCTAATGTTAGAATATCCAAAATTATACATTAATATATTATTAACTAATAAAGAAATAACTACAATAATTAGTAAATAAGACATATAACATATCTAGATGGAGATAAATAAGATGAAAGTTGTATCTAGTAAAAAAATTAATTAATTTAATTTTCTAAAATTAAGTGAAAAAGTGTTGCACCTATATATTCCTAGATATTAAAATGATAGCGTGATTGATTCGACTTAACTTATACGCTGAATAAATATATTAATTAGTAATTACCATTTTTTGGTTTTTCAACTAAAACTCAAAAAGTAAGTTTGAGTGTACATTTTTAAAATACAATATTGGACGTCATAACATGAAAATCAAAAATTGTTTATTAATTACCTACATACTTACATAGTTTCACCCAATTAATATTATCATTCGATAATATTATCGTATAATATCGTATTTTGTTTTTATGAAATTACAAAAAAAAGAATACAAATCAACTGAACAATTTATTATAAATTATAATTAAACAAATATAGGTAACATACAACAATTAAATTAATGTTTTGAAAACGCTTCAACAAATTTATAATAATTGTATTCAATTATTGACACAATTTCTAATTATACCTTCATTATTTTCGAGTATGGCCGTCCGTATGGTCTATCTGCCTGGAATGTCTTTTAATTACAACAAAAATATTATATTTTCAATTTTAATTGTAATTAAAATTCACCACAATCAGCAAGCGGTATATTTCAATATTAATTTATATTATTATTTTATAATCACAGTTCAATTTACAATAATATGTAAATTTGTGTTCAGAAGGCCGGAGTGTTCATAATATTTGAAATATAACCGTGGAATGCCAATTTGTGTAGATTATATACAAAAATAGGTATGTATAGTATGTTTGTACAGCTTCGGTGGTATATTATGGTTGTTTGGACGTATTAATACTCACAAAATGTTCCATTTCGGATTCTTTTATTTTGCGTTTATCATCTAAATATCTAATGATAAACCTTTTAACATTGCCACGATGAGGTCAATGGAATCCACCTAATAATATTACAGGTATAATCAGTGGCGCACAACCCTATTTCTAAGTGTAGCGGTCGCCACACCTTGAAAATAAGGGGTGGATGGGTATAATAACAAAAAATAATAAACTTGAAATATGTTCATAATTAATCACAGATTATATTGGTTGATACCATAATATTTACTAATATTATTATCAATACAAATATGATAAAATGTATTAAATAATATATTTTTGAGTCTTAAGGGGGTAGGTGGGTGGGTAAAATGTTTTCTTGCTACACCTGAAAAATATATCTTGGGCGCCACTGGGTATAATATTGAATTTAATTCTACTATATCTAATATCTGTGTTTCTACGTTATCTGTATAATATTAGTTCTTAAAATTGTAAAATAATTAAATTATAGACTCATTATGTATTGATCGGTTCTTAGTGATATTATCATAATTTCGTACATATTAGACACCTTATAAGGTATGATACTGTTGGTGGTATCAATAATAAGTCGTAAAACTGCTGTGCACCACAAGTACCTGTTTAATAAGATCTTTGCGAGTCGGTTGGGTCATTTCTGAGTCGCAATCTTCCATAATTGGATCATGGTCTATGTCAATCATTTTAGTCATCGGTCGAAAATTGTTCGACGGCAAAGACGTACACAGTTCCAAATCTCCAGTAGTCTCCAGTATTTTCATCCGTTCGTTTATCTTTGACACGTTTTCATTACTGACTACTACCAACCTATTTGAAGATGTATATTTTGTCGCGGCACAGACTCCAGTCGAGGCACT